TTTGGTTTTATATCAGATAGGCTAAATCAAACTTAAAATTAAATTAAACTTATAAAAATAAAAATAAAATCTGAAACCATCCCTTCTTCTTCCCCGTTCTCTTCGCCGCACCCCTCAAACGCCCTCCCTCTCTCTCCCTTCTTCTTCCCCGCCTGCCTGCACATCTGGTGAGCAACCATGAGTCATCAGATCCACATTCAACCCAAATCAAGATGCAAACAAACGAAACAAACTAACGATTTGTTGACAAGGTTACCTCCTGCACTGCAGCATTGCAAGTGGAATGGACTGGCGGCGGTTTGACAAAGAGAAGGAGAGTAGTTTGTTGGCGTTTTGAGAAGAGAGGTTTCCCAGACACCATGCCGGCCAAGAGAGTGCATGCTTCTTTGCAAGACCCAGTTGCAGGGGAGGACGACGACGTCGACGGGGAGGACGACGATGGTGAGAGAAGGTGACGGGGGGGGGAGGAGGCGACGACGCCTAGAGAGAGGAGAGAGAGAGAGAGAGAGGGCCGAGAGAAGGCGAGAGAGAGAGGGCCGACTAATAATCCCGGCCTTTTGGTTGGTTTTATTAGTCCGGTGTATACTGTGCTAAATAAGCACACCGGTTAATTTAATCCGGCGCTTATTTAGTACGAGTGAACGCCAAACACCCGCATCCGTATAATTAGTCCTATCCGATCCTCTATCCGATCTGCCAAACAGGGTACAGCTTAAGCATCGGATTTTCATTGAAATTTATGTATTTGTTTTAAAAAGAAATTAACGAGGTGATATTTTGCGATCCCTAACTAATACTAATAGTACAATTTAAATAATAGTTACTCCAACATTTGTTAACTGCCTGCCTTCTTTCGATCTGCAATTCTGCATTCCAGGATTTTAATAAATCAGACGCGTTAGCTAGGGTTGTTCAGTTCTATTTCTCTCATACCAAAAACCTAGAAAAATATACAAAAAAATAGGTGTAATTCTTGTTACAATGGTCACATTTTTTCAAGTATATAGCATGCATGCATGTTGCCCAATCTCTTAGTCGATGAGTGTTAGATTTTCACCCATATGTCCTGAATTCAAAACTTCACTTTCTTAAATTATTGTAATAGTTTTATATGCTTCTACCCCTCATATTAATAGTAACATTTGAAAGAAAAAAAAAAGCAATGCCTTTTCTCAGGAAACTTCACTCTCTTAAATTATTGTTATCAACTGACCTTTGTTGGAGAGAGAGAGAGAGAAGAGAGAGAGAGAGAGAGAGAGAGAGTACAGTGTGTGTGTTGAATTTTAGATTGACATATGTTGGGTGGACATGAGGACTTGTGAATTCCCTATGATGTTGAAAACGAGCTACCATAGTTGACAATTTGTTACTTGCATGCATGTTGGGTAGCAGTACAACTGGAGAAAATGAATCTACAAACTACTGTATCAGAACTCTAACCACATGGAGTCCCAATGTAAAAGATTCAAACGCGCCCATCGCCCAAGACTTCTTCAGTTTTTTCATCGAGAAATTTAGTTGAGTAATTGTTAGGGATTTTGTTATTTTTCTAGTTCTGTCGACAGCTTCCAATGCATGATGTCAAGTTTATCTACCAAGGTGTGCTGCCAAGGCTTGTCCCAATATGTCTGTTGAGCATCACTTGCCAAAGCATGTCGAATTCTTCTGCCTCCCATACCAGATGGTCACAGGGCCTCAGGCGACCTTCTCTCTATGTTTTCCAATTTTCACAGGGTCTCGGGACCAGGAGGACCCCCTGGATCGGCCCTTGCATAATGCTTTCGTATATTGTTTTGGTAGAGACTAGGGCAGTGTAAGGATGCAAAGAAGTGTCCTACGTCAGAAAGTTATTAAGAAAAAATGGCTTATAAGGAGTTCGATCACAATTCCCTCTCCCCTCCAAATAGTTTTGAAAGAGTTCTCGAATTCGAATTCCCTATAACTGAACAAAAGAACAAAACATTTCTGTCCATGCTTGTATCATGCAACGTGGGTGCAAGTTTGAGGCCCATTCCCATACATAAGGCCGATATACCTTTAACAAGATAAATTTTGGATTGATCACATGTTGGCATAAGGCTTAGCGCTCGATCCAAAATCCAAAATCCATCGATTTGAATTGTTGTAAAAAAGCACAACCCCACAAAGACTCACCATTTTTCCTTTTTTTTTTTTTTTGAGAACTTTAACGAAAAGCTCCCGGTACTGTTTATTTAACGAAAAATCACATTTTTAAACTAAAAAGTCATTTCTAGTACTATTCATTTTATCATTTATTTTGTCTTTATCGTTAAATCTCAAAGTTTTCAAGCCATTTTCATTAGTTTTCATTTTTTTTCCTAAAGAAAAAAAAAAGATTTATGCAGGTTCTTTTATTCTTCTTGCGAAATATTCTCGTTATTTTTCTCATTCAGCCTCTTCTGCATTATTTGAAATGAAAATACAGAAACAGAGATGTGTACGGAAAATAACTATGTGCCGAATTCATTTTTTTTTCTTTTTCTGAATCCTCACATTTGCAGTTAGCATGAAATCAAAACCAGCCATGCATAACGCATGGTAACATAATGTAAGAGTTTTTTTCGAGACGAACATTATATAAGAGTAACATAACCCAACCCGCTTGTTCAAAGAAAGCAAACTTTTATGAAACACATACGTTGTTGTCGTGCTACGAAAATCCTTCGACGATGAAAGGCAAACAATTTCGGTTTGGGTCAATCTCTTTCATCATGTTTGTAGTTACCCGTACGTAAAAAAGTAAAAGTCAAACATGGTGGAGGAGTGGGAGTCCGACAAAGTTATACCTTAAGTTGATTGTATTGACTTTTGACTTTAATTCTTTAAAGAACTGCATCTCAGGCTTCACTTTTGACAAAAAACAAATTCTGAACGCGTTACTGGCATCTGAGATTCTCAGCCGTTAGATGATGTGGCCCTCTGACCATGTCAGCAGGTTACTGGTGAGGCTGGGATAGGGTGCGGACAAACCCATCACGTGATGTTGACGCGTGGCAGGGATCATTTGTCTGCCGATCCTGTTCAATGAGAGATTTTTCAATGTGACCGTCATACGAGTTGGTACACCACATGTTCCTATATAAATGATGGATTATGTGTATTAAAAGGTTAATAATTTAAAAATTAAAATTTTTCACCACTTATATAAAAAGAAGTGATATACCATCCGTATATTTCCGTCGCAACTAAATATTTCTCCTGTCCAAGGTGCGGTGGAACCCCTCTCCGACTCTGAGAAGGACTTTTAATCAATAACAACACATAAAACGACAACTTCTTCCCCCTCTCCAAGGCTTTTGCTTACTGACCAGTGACCACCGGCAGTACTGGCCTCTCTCTCTCTGGAGCATTCCGACAGGTCCCATTCCCAAGCAGAAAACATTGTGTCTTGCAGACCTGCAGTTGTACTGTCAATTGCATGCATGTGTAGTTCAAAACCAAAACCCCAAACCCCAAATGAAAAAAGACAATTTAATCTGTCATTTGCTAATTTACATGTTATGGCAGGCACTTGTGCAGCAACCGGTGTATTGCATAGTGCTTATACCTAAAGCGGTGAAACCAAATACCTACTAGAAGCCAAGCAGCTAGGAAGCTCACCTTCTTGTTATCCAAAAGTCGGTCAAATCGGGGCACGCTCCTCTCAAGTCCCACTAGTAAGTGGAGTATTCTATAATCCTTCCGTCTCTTAAGATTTAACCCATACACTTAAATTACTTAGGACCCCTGGAAAGAGCTGATTTAAGGCAGCCCAAGAATGAACACGTCGTCTAAGCATTCCCTGTTGCTCCAATCTCCCCTACTCCTATACTTGTAAATCTTTGTGAACTCTTTTTCCTTCTCTCTTCTTGTTCTCTGTCCCCATCCGGCCACCTGTCGGCCTGATCTAAAGAATTCATGGGATTGTTTGATCTAAAGGGGATATTCTATAATTTCGCACTTTAATTTTGGTTCTTATTAGGAAGATATTGGAATTTTCTTTGTTTAGGGCTCACCATAAGCTAATAATGAATGCCGACATCTAGATTACGTCTTGGATCATTAGACAAGACTTCGAAAATAAAGAAAGAAACAAAAAATATCACTAGCGTATAAACATATAGAATTTTCGTGAATTGTAAACTGTGTATTCTTTGAAGTTCAAAAACTATATATAAACGCATAGAGTTCCTTAATTAGTTGTAAATTATAATCTGTATGTACGAACATATCTCGTTAAAAGAAAACTTTATGCAAATGGAAAATTTTAATTTGTTTTGCAAAAAGAAAATGTAAGTTACAACTTAAGAAAACCCAGCCAGCTTATAAAGGAGAAAATTTTATGAGGATCGAGAACATAATAAGTCATTGTTAAGCTCCTTATAAACCCTTGGCCAGAAGTTCAAAACATACCTAGCACACTTAAATAACTATTTTATGATTGTACATTTGTATGTATTATTAACCTTGGCCAAAACAAAACCTTAATTAGCTTTATTGATTTATGTTTTTTCCCATTGCTAGATGTAACAACTGGAATGCTCTTATAGGGATATACACATGATTATCCTTATTATCACACATGCATGCTCTTCATCATTTTGGTGAAATTATAATTAATTTTTTTAATTCTTTAAACTTTAATTAAGTCACCATCTAGTATTACGGTTTAGTGGTATTCCTCTTTACTTGTAAGTGAGAGGTCTTAGGTTCAATCATTGCCAAAGCGAATTTAAACCACATTAGTGCTAACCCATTGTGAGGATTAACTCTCTCCCGTGAATAATATCGTTTGTCAAAAAAAAGAAAAAAAAAAGAGTAGATTTAAGTAACAGCTAGCAACAAAGATACTTCTGCTGCTGCGCGTAGCAAATTGAGAGCAAATATGGCAAATACAAAATGACAGCAGACCTCATTTAAAATCTAGTTCCTGATTTGAATCTATCTGTCGGTGCTCACTACAAAACAAGTTTAAAACATACATATATATATCCGCCATAAATAAAATATATAATAAATATTGGAAATTAATTTATAAAATTCATGTCGACTGCCGAGAGTACTAGCTAGCTACCACATGTTTTACCAAGATCGACAAGAAAAAAAAGGTATCACATATTATTATCATTGAAAATGCACACACAAATATGCAAATTAAAATTAATTAGAATTCAGAATCAAAAGCTGGTGGCGGTGCTTGCTGTACCGTATTGTTGTTTTTCTCACCTTCACCATGCTTAGTTGAATCATCATCACCTAGAGAATGGTTTTCCGGCGAAGCGGGGCGGTCTTCTGGTGCTTGATCAGAAGGCGGTACAAGTATCCCTTGATTGTACAAAGAGCTTAGTTGATGAAAATAAGGACAAGTCCTAGAGTCAAGTGACCTCTTCTTGTTAACATCTTTTGTTTTTCTAAAGTACTTGTTAATGTTCTCCCATTTCTCTTTGCACCTCTTGGCACTCCTCGTGTAACCCATCTCTAACATCCCTTGTGAGATTCTCTCCCAAAGAGGAGCTTTCATCACGACTCCTCCGTCCTTGTCCTGATCGCCGCCACCGCCATTGTTGAAGAGGCTGCACCTTAAGTTTATCAGAGCCAGCACTTCATCTCTCGGCCACCTCTTTCCGAGGTCTTGTTTGTCATGACTAATGGAACTAGGGTTTTGAGAGTTGATGATGACATCATCAGAACTAGGGTTTTCAGGAGGTGCGACGACAACAGCAGCAGCAGCAGTAGCTCTAGATAAAATCGTCATGGTTGGAACGGCAATGGGAGTCGGGGCAAGAGTACTTGAGCTAGGACTTTGGGGTGCAAGAGTACTTTCAGTTAATGAACTAGGCGTTGTTGGGTTATTTTCTTTTTCTTGATGATGATCAAGTTCTTTTCGGCCACTAACATCGTGACACGTAGGACGATTAGGGTTTTGTGCTTGAATCGGAGAAGACGAAGTGGAAGTACTAGAATTGCTGGACGACGATGTGAACTTCTTCAAGAATTTGTTGATTGTAGCTTGTCGATCACCAGCAACGGCTTGTTCTCTCGCCATAATCTCGAGCTCCTTGTTCATCCTATCCGTCTCTTGCTTCTTCCATGCTTCTTCCCTCGCAAGCTTCTCCTCGTTTCTCTTCATCATTTCTTCAAGAAGCTTGTCGTGCATCTCTTCCTGCCGAGCCATCATCCTGTTCACAATGTCCTCACAGAAACCCTTGAGCATTTCAAATTCCCTTTGCCTTTTCCTCTTCTTAGTATTGTTCTTTGATCTAGTTTCCACTACTACCTCTTTCTCATTGTGCTCCTCAGGGTTCAGCGGCTCGGTGGTAATCACACCAATACTGTTCCCAACAATTGTTTCATTTCTCGTTGAGTCTTGATGATCTCCATCATCACTGGGCTTTTCAACCTTTTCTTTCTCATTATTTTTATCCCCGGGAGCTTCCTGATGATCATCAGCGTTTTGCTGATGAGCATCACCACCACCTTGACAGAGTTGTTCGAGGTCACTGAGAAAACTGTAGTTTTTGGTGAAGTTAATGTTGTTGAAGTATCTGCTTTCTTCTTCAAACTTCTCTTTGCATTTCTCTGCACTCCTTTTGAAACCAAGCTCAGCTAGATTCCTGCTTCCCCCCATAAATATATACCAAACCAGCAGCATCAATAAGCAAGAGCATTTATTTACTCTATTATTCAGTCCTAGCTATATATATATATATATATATATATATTGTAAACGAGGGGATATTTGTGTTTAGTGAATATATATGACTCTCTCCACATACACATGAGTAAACAGTGACTTAAATTCCATTAGTATTGATGAAGCATCAATCGTCACTTAATTATAATAAAATGTCATCGGTATAACCATTCAAATATATAGAATTGTGCGTAGCCAAGTTGGCTAAAGTTGTGTGTGCTCCCTTTCTGAACTCAAGTTCGAATCCCCATCTCCGTTGTCTAGATGAATTTACAATAACCCCAGCTAGCTAGTTCATCAATAAACTAATTAATTAAGATAATCATATGAATATATGAGATAAGTAATATGAACGAATTATAAATAAGCTTACCTTGAGATATGTTCCCAAGTGAACTCAGGGAACCAAATCTCCATGTTAGATCTGATCCTGAGAAGTGCAAGCAATTCATCATTACTCCAAGAATCACTAATGATTGATACATCTGATGATGCCGGTATCGATGAAGATCTCTCTCTTTCGATCTCCAAATTATTGTTTATGGAGATTGAAACAGTACTAGAGCGTTCCTCTTTCTCCTCGAGATTTTTGGGGATGGCGGCGGATTGGCGGTGCAGTTGCAGAAGCTGATTATTCTGATGAAGCTGATGGGGTTGAATTTGCAGAAGTTGATGATGATGAAGATGAGAAGGGTTGTTATTGTTGTAGGGGTCAAAGGGAGTAGCAGCAGGGACAGGGAAGGTATTAATACTATTGTTTGATGGTGGAGGAGGGAAGGAGGAGAGAGGGAGAGGGAGAGGGTGAGGAAGAGGGAGAGGGTGAGGAAGAGGGAGGGAAGTTCTTGAGGATGCTATGAATTGGTGCAACTGCTCAGCTGGGACTCCATCAAACATGTTTGTCTGTGATTTTTTGTGAGAGCGTGTTTCTCTTCTTTACCTCTCCTTTTGTTTGCTCACCGTAAAATAGCAAAATGTTAGAAACAAAGACTACAAAAACACCAAACTTCTCTCTCTCTCTCTCTCTCTCTCTCTCTCTCTCTCTCTCTCTCTCTCTCTCTCTCTCTCATCAAGGACTTATGTTGTCCTATGCATCCTATCATGGAAGAGAAAAGATAGCCCACCACACAGTTTTAGAAGAAGGTGAAGTCACCCTCAAACTGGGAGAAAATTATTGAGTACATGAAAATATGACTTGTTATATTTACACATTGACTCAATTATTACACTTATTTTTGTGAGGGTGCTCCACATCAATTATGCTTGATTATGTGACTGTTTATTGTGATTTCATAATTGGTTTTATTTATTTAACCATATCATTGTGTTCATCGTGAATGTCTATCATAATCTACCTAGTGTCTTACGCGAGAAATTGAGACGACTTGAATCGTGGTAATAGTTTGAGCTCCAAGGTGATTAACCACCGTGTTTATGATGAATGAATGTAAGATGTTAAGTAACCGTTAAGTCTGTTAAGAAAATTGTGAGTAGCTGTTATTACGCTTATTTTGTTACCAATTGTTTCAATATTTGGTGCTAAGCATGCGAGCGATTGAAACGACTTGAATCGTGGTATTAGTTCGAGCTCGGTGATTAAACCATGTTTAGAGTTGTATCACCTAGAGGATACAAAGAGGAAGAGCGGGAATTAAGTCTTGTATAGTACCCAAGCAGCAAGGGGGCGCAAGGATGAACTAGTGTGGGGTCTAATAATTTGGGTTTGAGTTAAGTCCCTTTTAAATTTGTGTGACTAATAGTGGATTATTTTCAGATTGACTAAGTGTCTAAGGATCTCAAGTGGTGGGTTTAACCTCATTGAATCGTTATGCACTATATGTTTAACATACACGTACTATGATTGATATCTACTTTCAGTCCTACTATTTGAATTGGTGTTGACAAAACTTAAAATTCGTTAGGAACTAGCTATATATGTTAACCTTACCACTGCATTTTTCATATCTTACCTTGTCACCATTAAGGTATCCCTCGCGTTAGTTCTCGCTCCAAGTATTTCTATGTCAATGTCTCACTTCATATCTCTCAACTTTAATACACAAAAATAAAGTTTCAAAGTTAAAAGTAATGGAATAAGCACATTGTCTTAATCAGTTAACGCCAGCCACAAACTCTTTCCAATTACATGACCTAATCTACCCTTAGTAACCCAAAAGAGTCAAAACCATATAAGTAGTGATGGGATTGGGGAGTGTGATCCACGAGGGGTGAGTTGAGAATGGTGTTAGCAGGATTTATATTTGAGGAAAATAATACTTAATCTTTATACAAGATTTAATTTGTGTTTTGGTAGTATTTGGGGCGGCTACTGTCCTTTAGAATCCTATGCAGTTGCTGATGCTGATGATGGTGTAATTAACGGCAAGGATATGGCAGGACACGTGAAAACATGCAGACACTGGGACCAATTTATTTAAGGTGGGACTCTTTCGAAGGGTACAAGGGATCACAATAACTACTCTACACCTCATCAGTCAGAAATCATTGTCATTCTAAACCGTCTAATTTTTAGATCTTTTTTAATTCTAGTCTAAACCGTCTAATTTTAAGTTTTTTTTTAAATTTTCATTAGTCGAAACCGACTAGCGTTTAGGTATTTTTATAAAGACTGTTCTTACAAAAAAATATTTGAATAAGAACCCACATGGATTTATTAGTAGATCTTTAGAGAGAACAATAATATCGTAATGTTCTACTGTTCTTCACAATGTTTTATACTCTAGAGCATCATAATTTTCGGTAATATATAATTTCAAAGAAGAAATATTTGTGGGTCTTTTAGGGTTGGTAACTTAAACAAAGAGAATAATACTTTACATGGGGATCCATCCAACCATTCAAAAAGGAGAAAATATAAGATTGAAAATTCCCTTTTGAGTAGTTGGAACAATACTATGAAATTTGGTATGACCCATTTAGGGGTGGTTTAGGAGTGAGGTGCTTAAAAAAAAACACCCATGAAAAAAAGCTGTGAGGGTTTTAGATGTTTGGTAAACTGAAAAAAAATGGCTTATTTTGGAAGCTGCTGTGAGAATAAGCTGAAATAAAAGGAAAACTGGTTTTTTTTCAAAGCACACAGAGCTACAGTGCTCCTTTAATGAAAAGACCCACTATCAGACTGTTTTTTTTTTTTTCCAAAAGCACTTTTACAAAAAAGTTTACCAAACACTCTTCTGATTTATTTCACAGCCGCTTATTCTCACAGCAGCTTTTTTCAACAGCAATTTTTTTTCAAAGCACAACAATACCAAACCAGCCCTTAATTAGTTCGTTCTTGCAGAAAGCAAATATTGGAAATTCATTGAGCTTTTGAAATAGTTTGAGTGTTAGATAAAGTAATAAAAGTTGGAATATTTTACAAAAGGAAGCATGAAATTAAATTTTTTTTTCTTCTACTCAAGTCGGCTTGGTGTAAAATCGAGCACGTTGACACTGTAGAATTTATACAGCCAACAACACTCAGCGAAATAATGCTTGGTTGTCGTTGTTGTTATACTAGTTAAGTCACTCGAGGCAAAAAATAATTATTGAGATTCTTGTTTTCTTGTGTGTGTTTGGTCCTTTTTATCACAGCTTTTTAATTTTAGCGAATTAATATCCCCTTGTGGGGCAAATGGGGTCTTTATGGTTGAGCACATTATTTCACCAACTTGTTATGAGTTTTATGGAAAGAGATGTATCGTAACATCTAGTTGTTACAAGGGTGCAATACATAAAGTGTCCTCCTCCATTGCAGTATTTATTCAACATGAATGACTAAACATGCATCACCAGTCAATGTAGCAGGGTCGAGCTTTTGCGCATGCTTGTAACTGGGCGGTGCATGAAAGCGATGAGTGATGATAGACCTTAAATCATGTGAGTAAATGTGTTGTAATTTGTTTCACCTCTATAGTTGGCATGTGAAATCATATTAAGTATGCCTATTCTTGTGGGGTTAATATAGCCACTCGCTCACTACGAATGGTAGCAATCATATATAAAGAAATAGACTAGTAAGGTAGTACTATTGCTTGATGATCTAACGCTCGCTAGGCTTTTACGCTCGCTAGGCTTTTATTGCATGGCGTAAAATCTATTCCTCTTTCCAAAAGAGAAGGGTAAAATGTGATTGCTTATGGTCGGAAATTTTGAGTTGGATTCATAGCTCCAACTGACACATCCCGACCTGGAATGTCTACCTGGACATCCGAATTGCGATGTGCTGGCCGACACCTCGAATGTGACAAAACCATAAAGTGTAGTGATGTGGAAAATGTGAATAAATGAAAACTTAAAAGTGACTAATTTAGAGTGCGCATTTGAGCGTGATTAAACCCATATCACACAAATGATGTCAGAGCATAGATAAATTGCAGTAAAAGAAGAGTAAGGACATTTATACCGAAAGGAGAAGTCTCCTATGTAACAGCTTTAACCAGCAATCCTCATCGTCACGAAACCTCTACCACTAAAATTTTGAAGGGGCGAAAAATAAGGGTGAGTGGGCCCAAAACCCAAACCTAGAACCAGGTCAAGCCTATGACCTGGTAACCCTAACCCAGATCTGATCTGGATTCGCAAGACTGATCCGATATAAAAAAAAAACAAAAACAAGATAGGGGCTTATGCCCAAACCTTTGGGCCGTTACCCGACCCTGCTCAATTCCAAAATGGATCCTGGAACTTTCCTGAAATATTCTATGGCATATTCCTGGAATATTATTTGTGTCGACTTCATGAAATTTTCTCGGAAACCCTCCTATGTTAATTTCAGCGCCTCGAGTTCGTTTTTGACATCCATTTAGTGAAATTCCAAAGTTTTAACGTAGTTGACCGCTGAAGTGTCTTGGTTGACTTTTTAAGGTTGATTGTAGACTTTTACAAAATTTGCCCAAGACCCTTTTTAGCGTATTTCGACGCGCTAATTCCGAATCCACCTTTCGTTTTTACCAATTAAATTGTTTTAGTTGAGTTTTATTGACGGGACCCAATATTATGCTTAGGTGCAATTACTATCTAAGACTTCAACCTTCCTAGCTCGAACGGTTACAACATGCATGTACATGTGAGTTGGTCTTTTCATTTTTATGTATATATATGTATATGTGATTTTTCCCAACAATTGCTTTTATAAATTATGATGCGATATGCTATGTTTAGCTTTACAATAGACATTTCGTACACTTTATGTTTTTAATATTATTTGTGAGCATAAACTTGTGGCATGACATCCCTGCGTTTTACCTGCTCATTATTACATGTTTGCACGGTGTCTCTTAGTTATTTGTACTGTCATGGGCCAAGGACTAGCTTCATGTGTAGTTCACATGCACCGTTTACATTCACTTTGGATCTAGAGTTAGGTGTCAGCTTGTCATTTTGTGTGAAGTTTTGGACTCGTATGTGATGCGACTAGCAGCTCACGTGATGTAGTACTAGAATGTGAAACCTAATATCTCTGCAACGGACTTGTGTGCTTACATAAATTAATGAGCATTGATTTCTTATAATAACGGTTTGAGATTTAATGTTGAGATACTTTGTTGTTGTACCCTACATCTTGACTCACTTTTGCTGCAGGATACTTACTACATACTATTATTATAATATTTTTGAGAAACCATATACTTAATTTACAGCGAGGGATTACACTTTTTGACGCTATATTCAAACACACACGATGAGTTGAAGGATTTGTGTACAAAAGGAATAATCTAATCGTTGAGTGTAATATATGGAGTCTCATTATGAACGACGTAAAGATGTGCATATATTTCCGTTGCAACTTGTGATTTTGGTTCCAATGTGTTTCACACCATGTGTTTTGTTCTTATTGATACTATGGTAGAATTTGTGGTTCCTATGTTGCCGTTGAAGTTTGCTAGAAGCTGTAGGACTAACCTAATTAAAATTAACTTGTTAAGGAAAGAACATTAGCGGGGATAGCTCAGTTGGGAGAGCGTCAGACTGAAGATCTGAAGGTCAGGTGTCGATCCACCTTCACCGCATGTTATTTTGTTTATATTCTAACATTATTATTATT